ATGTCATGGATGGAAATTGTCTATTTCGGCCAAAATCGAAATAACAGGGCCGCTTGAACATTGTGTTCGAATCAGGGGTGCCGTATTCCGTATGAGATCATTTTCGAATGCGGCAGCCATATATCATGACCAAATGATGGAAATTGTCCACTTTATCCAGAAGCATGATAAAAGAGCCGGTTGTACTTTTGTGCAAATTCGGTGCCGTATTCCACAAGATGATCCGAGTGCCATAGATCGAGACGAAATTCTGGAAATTGTCTTCTTCGGCCAAAAGCTTTACAAAAGGGTCGATTTAACTTGTGTGCGAATTGGGTGCCGTATTCTATAAGATGATTTCCAAATGCCATACAAGCGGAGACCAAATGATAGAAATGGCCGAGAGCGTAATAAAAGGACTATATATAAACTTGTTGTTCGAATTGGGTGCCGTATTCTTGCGGATGATTTCCAAGTGCCATATCTCTTTTGTGGCAAAAAGCTTTCTAAAGGGCCGCCCTAACTTGTGTGTGAATTGCGTACGGTAGTCTACAAGATGATTTTCAAATGTCCCATTATAAAGGGACCCAAATTGTGGAAATTGTCTTTTGTGGCCAAAACCTTTATTACAGGGCTGATTAAACGTGTGTGCGAATTTGGTACCATTTTCTACAAGGCGATTTCTAAACAACGCATAAAGGTGGAAATTGTGGCAATGATGGAAATTGTCCATTGCGGCCAACATCGAAATGAAAGGGCCGCTTGAACATTGTGTTCGAATTGGGTTCCGTATTCCGTATGAGATCATTTTCGAATGCGGCAGCCATATGTTGACCAAATGATGGAAATTGTCTACTTTGTCCAGAAGCGTTATAAAAGAGGCGATTGTACTTTTGTGCAAATTCGGTGCCGTATTCCACAAAATGATTTCTGAGTGCCATATATCGAGCCGAAATTCTGGAAATTGTCTTTTTTGGTCAAAAGCTTTATAACAGGGCCGATTAAACTTCTGTGCGAATTGGGTGCCGTCTGTTTCTAGATGGTTTTCAAGTCCCATACATCGAGACCAATTGCAAATGACGGAAGTTTTCTACTGTGGCTGAAAGAGAAATAAAAAGGACTGAATCGGGTGCCGTATTCTACATGTTGATTTTTAAATGCTGCGCTGATGTAAATTGTCTTTTGTTGCCAAAAATGCCATCTATGGATACAAAATGGTTCAAATTGTCCATTGTAGCGAAAACCGTAATAAAAAGGGGCCGATTAAACTTGTGTGCGAACAAGTTGCCGTACTCTACAAAATGACTTTCAAATGCCTTATATCGAGACCAAATGATGCAATTGTATATTGTGAACAAAGGCGAATTGGGTGTGGTATTCATAATTAAGGTTTGGTAGGAAATGCTGTTTTGTAATTTTTTTTATGCATCCGATGTTAATTGTCTACTAACATAATTGTTAAAGTATACGTAAAATGTATTATAGGTAAGAACACAATTTAAGTTTGCCGTTTTTAACTTGTTTGCCCTTTCAAAACTGAGGTAACTCTGTGAGAACCTGGAACAGATATTCAGGGCAAAACGGAGTATACCCAATAAAACCAGTGCGACGATAATTTTCAAGAAGGGATGAACGAGGCCCCAGGAAGCGAGCCGTTCTAGATCAGAGGCATGTTTAGGCATGCCTCGGGGCTTAAAATATGCGGAGGCATTAAAATGTCCTTCATAACTTGGTTTAACTCCACCCAGGCGTTTCTCAACTTGCCAAATTAAAGTTCATCGAAACTTAAATAGTATTTCGTTAATGTTTAGTATGTAGTTCTTATTATATGGCTGTGTCTCACAAAGAGTGGGAACTACCGAATTCACGAATTTGATTGGCTGAAATCAATATTGAAAGCGGCCTAGATTTTCCCATCTAGACCGGCATCTAGATCGGTCTAGAAAAAAAAGGTACAAAGATTATAAAAAAGTGGCATATAAGACATAGCCATATAATAAACAACTTATAACCGAGCTAGGTTGGACTGTATGGGAGAATCTTGACCTCGGTAGATGGTACAGACCTCACTACGGTCGGTCTGTAATGGCGACCTCGGTCAAGATTCTCCCATACAGACCTCCCACTCGGTTAATAAGAACTAAATAGGATTTGCCGATTTATAATGGGGCGCCGACATAACATATGATACTGTTAGT